TGGTGCGCATCTCCCCTCCTTGCACCATGCTGTCCATGTTGCAGAATTTGAGTCTTAAATTCCGAGAGTCCGACCCTCACAAACAACAGGAATACCATAGGAGACTCATGGAGGCCAAATTGTTGTTAGGATTTGCGGTGGAACTGTGCCACATGGTTCATGAATATGGGGGTACATTTCTATTTGAGCATCCATGGACATCCAAGGCCTGGCAGGATCACCGCCTGAGGACCCTCCTTGAAGATCCGGCTATCTTCCTCACCAAGAATGACCAATGCCAGTTCGAGCTCAAATCCATCGAGGGTGACTACCATAAGAAGCCCACTGGATGGTTGTGCAACAACAAGGTCTTGGCCAGTGCACTTCACAAAGAATGCCCAGGCGACCACCCTCACCGACCAATCCTTGGATCCTCACACGGAATCCAAAGATCAGCCTATGCGGCTAGGTACCCTACAGCTCTGGTAGACCACATTCTTAAGGCATATAAGGCTTCCATCTCCTACACCGAGGAGCTCTATGTCTCCCACACCGACGACCTCTTCAAGGAGAGCTACCAAGTGGACCGACTCATGGAGATCATGGCGAGCGAAGAAATGGAGTCGGAGGAGGGACCTCAAGCTGATCATCATGAACCACTACCAGTTCGTGATCTAGGAGCAGATGGACTACCGGAAGAAGACCCTCATGCTGAACGACCTCTACCTCTTGAACGACCAGGTAGCATGGAAAGCCTCGTTCGGAGAGCGCACTGCGGACTAGGACACCCAGGAAACCAAAAACTAGCAAACATCCTGAAGACCGCCAAGGCCTCCACGGAAGCCGTCAACATCGCCAAGAATCTTGTGTGTCCGACTTGCATCAGACACAAAAGAATCGATGGGGCACGACAGGCCGCTCCTCCCAGACAGTTGAAACCAAATCAGGTGGTGGGAGTGGACACCGTATGGCTACCGGGAGTTGAACCTGGCGGCAAACTCAAGATCCTAGATTTCAGTTGACGATCCCTGTAAAAGACCACACACCTCAAGGAGCAGTTCGGGCCTTTCACCAGTGGCTCAGAGTTTTTGGACCACCAGAGGCCATCTATTGTGACCTTGGAAAAGAGTTCAAAGGACACTTCGAGCTCATGGCGGACCAGAACGACATCTACCTGGACCCAGGATCTTTAGAGATGCCAACTCAAAGAGCCATCACGGAACGAGCTGGTAGAAGCTTTAAAGAAGTCCTCTCAAAAACGCTAATGGAAGCAGGTTGCTCATCTTGGGACGAGTGGCACCTCATCGTGGACGAGGTCAACGCTACCATGAACCGCCTGTCCAACAAATCCGGCTTCAGCCCCATTCAACGGATGCTTGGTTACAGTCCCAGACTTCCAGGAGGCATCTTTCAAGGAGGTGAAGGTAGCATTGGAGTGATGTCCCGTTATCACGCAGGTGATGCACAAGTTCAACGATCCACAGACATTCGAACCCAAGCCGCTGTTGCATTCCATCAAGTCGAGTGCGAACAAGCCTTGAAACACTCGGTCTATGCAGGCCCCAAACGGTTCTACGACTATGAGGTGGGTCAGACGGTCTACTTCTGGAGAAAGGGAATGGAACGACAGAAGAAGGACTCTCCAGCCTTTTGGCATGGGCCTGGCAAGGTCATCCTCACGGACCTCCCGAACACAATATGGGTCAGCTATAGAGGAACTCTCGTGAAAGCAGCTCCCGAACACCTTCGTCCCATAACCAATGACGAAAAGTTCCAGTTCATGGACTTCTTGACCGACATTGTCAACACCCAGAAGGAGATCCAGAACCACAAGATTAGAAACTATATCATCCTCGACGAGAAGCCCCCGGCCATCGAGAATGCACCTTTACCAGAACAAGAAGAAGATCGTGATCGACCTGACGGAGAGGAACCACCACCACCAAAGAAACCTCAATACCGAATTGAAGGAAAAACAGCAGAGACCGAGGTCGAGTTCAAACCGGAAGAAAGGGAAACAGCCTTGGAGGGAGACCTCGACCATCCGGAACCTATGTCTATGTCGCCCAGGATGGATGACTACACACCTACCGAACCAGGTGACCAAGATCCCCACGAAGAGCGTGAGAGAAGGATGATTGAAGATGAGGACAACCACAAGCCCCCGGAGAGACCCACGTCACCACGGTCTACTCCAGTGATCCGCGAGAGAGTGGAGGACCCTGAACCACCGGTCAAACGAATCAGGACAGAAGCTCTGGAACTAATGTATCAAGAACTCGTCCGGCTTCGACCACAAAAGGGCAAGGAGATTGTACTCAACAAGCTCCCCGCCAAGAAGAAAGAGAAATTTCTCAAGGCCATCCTCAAGGAGGTGACCAACAACCTGAGCTCAGGTGCCTACGAGGTCCTCGATCGGGGTGAATCCGAACATATCAGGAGAACCAAAGCGGAGAAGATCATGAAGTCCCGCTACGTCCTCACGGAGAAGGGGGTCGAGGTGGAGGAAGTCGAGAAGCTCCAACAAGACGGCCTACTCATTGAGGACAATGATCCATCTCTCGGACCCCAAAAGGCGAAGGCCAGACACGTCATGAAAGGCTTCTCGGAACAAGGTGCCGAAGACCTTGCCTCGACGACCCCTCAGGTCGCAAAAGAAACTGTTTTCTTCACCTTACAAGTGATATCCAGTATGAGATGGGAACTCGGACACCTGGACTTCACCCAAGCATTTCATGCTGGAGATCTGATAGCTCGGGAACTTTATGCTGAACTCCCTCCTGAAGGACTTCCAGGATATCATCCACGGCAACTCCTACGCTTGAAGAAAACTTGTTATGGACTCACCGATGGTCCTTACGCCTGGTACCAACACATCACCAGGGTTCTCCAGGAGTTGGGGTATGAGAAGAGCCGAGCCGACCCATGTCTTTTCTACCTCCGATGCCGCCAAACCAGAAACACGGTCGGCATCATCGCTCTCGCCACTGACGACATGGTCCATGGAGGTGGAGTACAACATTGGAAGAACATGAAGTGGCTTCAACAGAACTACAAGATGGGCAAGTTCACTACGGGAGAAGGGAAATTCACTGGCAAGGAACTAACTCCTGAAGCCAACGGGTCCATTCGAGTTACCCAAAAGAACTACATCGAGAACTACATCAAGAAGATCCCTCTCAGTCGTGAACGTGGAGCTCAAAAATACTCTCGATGCTCGGAAGAAGAAATCGGACAGCTTCGACAGCTCATTGGAGGCCTGAGTTGGGTGGCCAAATAATGTCGACCAGACATTGCTGGACGAGTCTCACTTCTTCAGCAAACTATGCCTCACCCCATGATCCGAGACATTGTAGAAGGAAATAGCATCGCAGAAGACCTCCGAAGAACCTCTGACTTGGGATTAAGAATCCAACCAATACCACTCTCCAAGCTCAGGATTGGAGTAGCTACCGATGCTTCTTGGGCCAATGCCGGTCCCAATGCCGACTGTGACAACACCAAGGACTACTGGACGGAAACACCCACAACCTGGGTCCGACACCATGTCGCACCACGTCGCTTAACCTTCCATCCCGGTTCAGTGATTGATCCAAGTGGCCCAGATCTGCACCAGATCACTAGAGACCGGAGAACACAAGCTGGAAGCCAGATCGAACATGACAGGTGGGATGGGGCAGATGGTTTCAAAGACCTAGGTGCCCAATGGACAGGTACCACCACCCTCTTCAAGTCCAAGGACAAGAAGGTCACGAACCAACCCCTGTCTGAACGATTCCTCCAACTGGCTAAGAAACACAGTCAAGGAGGATACCTCCTTTTCTACTACCACCAGGATCTAGAAACCTCTGACCACAAGCAGGACATCACGATTGCTGGTTGGAAGAGCTATAAGCTCAAACGCTGCACAGTGAACACCCTGTCGGCAGAGTGCCAATCGATGCTTCAGGGCATCGGCAACCTCCACTGGCATCGCTTCTTGCTGGCCGAGCTGTTCGATGTCAATCTTCAGATTGATAAATGGGAGTCACAGCTGGCCAGCTTTCCTTTTGTTGCAGCCACAGACTCAAAGTCCCTCTACGACACGATGACCAAGTGTCGCAACACCTCAGCCCACATAGATGACAAGCGCACTGGCATCGACCTGACCATCCTCAAGAGTGACTTGGCACATTCATCGGGTCAGGTGAGGTGGGTCGGAGGAGGAAACATGATTTCGGACCCTTTAACTAAAAAGATGACGCCGTCGTTTTTGAGAAGGGTTATGGAGATTGGCCAATGGTCGCTGAAAGAACAGGGCCATACGGAGATTTCATCCAATAGAGAGTAGCTGCGATGTGAATAGCATGTCGCTTTGGATGAAATCACGATTCCGAAATGTTTAACTCTCGAGGTGGCCCGACGCGGCCCTATGTGCAGGGGACAATGCACATGTGAAAAGGTCTTGCTGCCCACAGATACGTATCATTCCCTGATGTCCACCTGCAGGTTCATTCGAAGAGGAGGAGCACTTGCAGTTCCTTTCGGAAGCTACAAGTACCACCAAGTAAGTAAGTGACACCTGCGAAGCCCAAACAGTTTTGGGCCCTTGGACCTCAGGAAATCTTGAGTAGCCAAAGTCTGTCAGCAATCCTGCCTGTCTGTCAGGAAGATCCCAAAAGAGCACTGTGCCCATCAACGCGTCTACAGAAACTTGGATTCATTCAGGTGTCGCTTTCGGCGACCGCCCATTTGGCGACCCCAAAGCTACAGCCCACAGAATGCAACAAACCCTTGGCTTGACGGTTTGATCCCCCCGAAAAAAACACGCGTGAAGCGATGGTGGCAACATCGATCTTGGGAAACACATTCCAACAGGAATACAAAGAGCTATACATTAGGGGGAGGCCTCAGGGGACACCCTGTCACTCCCTGGCCACCCCTAAGTCAACAAAATGTTGTTTCCGTTCTTCCTTTGCTAGAAACACCCTGTGGTAAGGATTGTGCTCCGGCGCCCTGTCGGCACATTGTGGCTCAGGCACCATCCACCACCAGGCTGAAGCGCGGCCTGCCAGACTGTGAGTGTCCGCTCGTGTTTGAGCAGCAGTCTCAGCTTTACAGCCTTCCAAACCAGCCAAGTCTGATGAAAAAGTGGTGGCAAAGAATTGGGTTTCAAAAAGAGCACTGCTGGCTTCCGTCTATAAACTTAAGACCCTGAAGCAGTCCCAGATGGTACTTTACAAGAAGGTACCACTCGGAACGGGGGAACCAGGACATTGGCAAGTTGCTTTCTCATCTGTCGTCTGCTGGGTGCCCAAAGCAAAGAACCAGCTGAATTTCCGTAGTGGTCAAGCCTAAAGATTCCAAAACCTTTCCTTTCGCGACTACTGAGCCGTGTGGCTCTTGGTCTTGGCTTCGCATGCATGAGGCTTGCACCGTAACAAAGAAATACGTCTCGATCGGCCAGTTCTTTTTGGACATCCCTGCCCGGTTGGGGCCTCTGACTGAAGCATCGAGCCTCCCACAAGCGGATCGACCGAAGGATGCAGCACAACGACCAAGACAGAGGTCCCAAATGCTCAAGTTGAATTACTAAGTAAAAGACGCTCAAGCCGGGGGGTCTTTTCAGCCTTAGGCTATGTGGATCTGGGAAGCAAATGAACGCAAACACATCAAATCTTAGGCGATGCAAGGGCTTTCGGGCTCTTTTGGAGGGTAGTGCAAGATTCTCCTTCAGCAGGAGCTTGTTCCTCCTACAGATTCCAGGGTTGCAGCATCCAGTTTTCAGCTGAGATGGACACCTGTAGGGTTTCACTTGTGTTCAGCCCTTGCTTTTAACTGTTCAGCTGATTGGTTCTATGCTGAAACATCATTTCGACTTCTCTACGGCACAGCACATGTCTTGGACCACCGAGCTACAAAATATGCTAAGAATGTCCATCTGCGTAGCCAAAACCGGTGGTATTATTACTATGTGTCTTCTTCTTCTTCTTCTTCTTCTTCTTCTTCTTCTTCTTCTTCTTCTGGTGTGTGGAAATTGTAACCATTCAAATGAGTGAAAGAAACATCGGACCAAAACCGGTGGGTTTGGGGGCCAAACAAATCTTGAGCCATCTCGAGCCACATCCATTTGGGCCGGACACAGCAAATAGCTACTAGTAACTAGTAACAAGGTCCATCGCTGAACAAGAAGCTACTAGGAGCAAAGGGCATCGCTACTAGGAGCAAGGACGCTACTAGGGGCTCCTGGCCTTACTACTAGGAGCTAGCTCCTGGCATTACTACTACAGTACTGCAGCTGCGCCACTCCGAGTTGCCCGCAGCGAAGGCCGCGTGGAAGGAAAAACGCCATCGCGCCAGGCCGCTCCGAATCGGACCCCTCCAATCATGTGGGTCCCAACTTGCCCCGAACAAAAATGGACAGGTCTACCTTGACATGTTCTGCCACAATGTCTTGGAATGTTTTGGTTTGACGTTTGACCCACACCCCCAATCTTGTGTGCCTACAGCGGCATGGGCAGGCTTAAGTGCGCCAATTTACTTGCGCAAAGCTTGGAAGCCCCTAAGACCTCATCTGAGTTCACATATTCAGTGCACCACCTCCACCTATCGATCGGACGCGACATGGCGCGAGAAGTGATTTCTGGGTCTATGTGGGCTCCTGGTTTACTTGTGAAATTGCGATTCAGCCAGAACTCCATTAACTGATCTTAACTCATCGGAACTAACTATCCAGTCTTGAGTCCAAGCTTCCAGTGGATGCGGGCACTCGGGCACAAGACTGCGGGACTCTGTGCGACAGTGAAGCCCAAAGACCCTCGTGATTTAATGACCTTGGCCTTGACCGCCTTGGCCTTGTTTGTAGCGGTCTTACACTCTTCCCCAGGCAATCAAGCTGAGGCTTCTCTTGTTGCCCACTGCCCAGGGCTCGAGCATAGGTCCGTCGATGCCCCTTGATCTCAACCACATCGCTCCTGGACTGCGGGGCTCTCCGGGGCTGCCGAAGGTGTTTGGCACCCAGCGAATCCGGAACACCCAATCTGCACAGTCTAGAATCAGAATATACATAATATTTTTACCTGGAACCCAGACATGACCTCTGTTTTGATAGGAAAAGACCATATGTTGGGTGGTCCAAAATAGAGGTCATTGAGGTTCTAGGTATATATCAGAATCATTTTGTTGCAGTTTGGCAAAACAGTATCGCATGGCTTTGCCAGTCGAGCCGGCTTGACAGGTATACTATGGAGCTTCTTGGAGCTTTGGGACAGCTGGAGGATTCCCATCTCGCTTCAACCGTTTGCAGGTCTTCAACCTCAATCAAATGGCTGTGGGTCAAAACCTGGAGCCCCAACACCATGTACCGAATCTATCCGCCATGTTCTACAAAAACACTCGAACGCCGAACGCTGAGAGCTCGGCATCCCGCCCACGGAAAAGCGGTAGAACCTTGGGGAAAAGCGGAGAACTTCACGTGCACCAAGGGAGGCCGAGCAACGCTCCAAGGGAAATGAAGTTACCAAGACCACGGTGGTGTGGGTTTTGCTGAACTGCAAGGTATAAAGCTCAAGTTGTATTTGTTTGATAAAGATTACACAGGTTTGCGGTCATAGGCTTCCCTTCTTGGAACACCTTTGAGTGCAAGTGGAAACCAAAACTATCCGGCAAAACCATGAAATCCTAGGCATTCTCCATGGTTAAACCAAAAAACAACACACCGAGCCCGAACACTGGGGTGGAAGAGGCAGTATTTCACTTAGTAAAGGCTTCTGGGTGCCAGGAGCCTTGACATCCTATCGGTTCCGATAGGTCTGTCTAACTGTCTAACTCCAACCATCCAGAGGTCGGTCAGTCCCACCATCTCCAACCATCTCCAAGAACCACCATCTCCCGGACTGCTCCACCCTTTCTTTTCAACGGGGCCGAGGTCTTCTCGGCCCAGGCAGAAGGAGAACCCTTCTGGTGATGCTAAACGCTTGGGTATGGTTGGGTGGGCTTGTGAATACTTGTCAAGGTTAGCGGTTGGCTGTCATGCTAAGAACATGTTGAAGGGACACGTTCGATGTGCATGGATCTTGACCTTCAAATAATACTGGCATCTGCTCACTGCATCACGTGCAGCATGTGACGATGTCAACGTTGACCTCTATGGCCCTTCAAACTCAGAACTCCTGCAAGACCGAGGCCCTTTTCGGCGACATCGGACTCTTGCTCGCCAATCTGGCCTGCTTCCCATTTCTAAAGGATCTTTGGGGCAGTCAGGTTCATCTGCAACAAGTTTTCAGGTCTTCGGGTTTGCGTTCATTCTTGTTTCTCCAGGTGTCTCCCGTGATTCCACAATCGGACACCAGGAACTACATGACTGGCATGTCAGACCGACCGGCGTGTCTATCCCTCAGGCAGCAAGGCCAAGACCGCGCTTGCCACAGGCGCACGCGCCCAGCCAAGCTCGTCACGAATCTGGGCGCCCGTCGATCCACACGAGTCGGAAGTCGGAGTCATCGATGAACGTTCAACAGGCGATTCCGTATCGCTGTATTCTATAAACTTCAACCTTATTCAGTCATTTGTCCACTAAACCAAGGAGAGCGAAGGAAGAAGTTTCGTAGGCGCGGCAGCTCTGTGAAGTCTCCGAATCTTCAGCTAGGATTGTCCAACACGTTCAACCTCTCTGCATTGGTCCGATCAAAAATCTCCACATGAAACCCGTGCCCGCCGATCCTTCCTTGCCCGCCGAAGGGTTCACCTCGGAAATTGGGCCTCCCATGAACATGAAGAAGTTCTGGCACGCCGCGTCAGGCGTGCCTGCTTGGAGAACTGCTTGGCAGGGCCGGCACACAGCTCTAGCAAGCCGGGCTGCGGGTCGACCGCCTAGAAGTGGGCGGTGGACGACCGTGGAAAACAGGTTGGGAGGTTGAGAAATCCAAGACGTGTAAGACAGGGATGGGTTGATTCATAAGAATATGATCAAGCTATATCAGCTTTCAGACTGCCAGATCGACAATCCGGTAAACTACTGAATAACAAATGGACACGAAGGTGCTCTCAAAGGAACAAAAAAGTAAAGGCCTTCTGGAAATGAAGAGAAGGAAGATCCACAGGGCTCCCGATTAATCCTATTATATAGAGGGACAGTCAAAATCATTATTACTTGTCAACTAAAAATTGGCGTTATCGGTGTTGAATTGAATCTTATCGTTTTACCGTGTTTTGAGTTCACCGCGTTCACTGCATGATCAAGAAAACGAGCTTTTGTGTTATCGGTTTTGAGGCGGAACGATAAATCGTTTTGCAGGGTTGAACGTGCACAAACCTACCCTTCTTTACCAAAGTGGTCTTCGCATGTTTTGACGGCAGCTCATATGTATATATATATATATATATACTCACTACAGTACCGACCAGGTTATGCGAGATTTACCATTTCGTCCTCTTTGAAGCACCTATGTCTGACCTTGAAACCCGCCTCACAAAGCACTCCCAAGAGAACCACGGCGGCAGGGGCGACCTGTGGATGCACCTGGAGATGCAGACGACAGCCACACCCTGCGGGAAACCCAACCAAACCATGCCGAAGGGAGGCCAAACCTCAGCAACATCAGTGTGGGTTTGGAAGGTGAACTGATGTGTTGTGAATTGATTTCGCAACAAGTCTATTTGTTTATATATATATATATTGTCTGCTTTCCATGCTAGTGAATATACGCACTATTCATGGTTGGACAGCATGTCTCCCAATATATTACAGGCTTTGGGCCAGTCACACCGGGCTTTGCATAGGACACCCCACTGCTGCCAAAAGGACAATGGTTGCAACGACACACCACGGAATGTGATCGCCCAGCCTCCAACCGTTTGAGAATCTCCTGGGCGAATCGACTAGAAGCTTGGCTTATGGCTCAACGAGAAAAAAAATGCACCAGCCCAATTAAGCCCAGATAGCAAAACATTGTGGTGGGCAGTACAGCGCCCAAGCCCTCAGCCGCACAGCAGCGGCACCCTGCAGCGGCACCCTGCAACGGCACCCAACTCTCAAGCATGCAAAGCAGCGGCACAACAGCACCAGCACCCAAGCTCCCAAGCGCGCAAAGCAGCGGCACCCTGCAGCGGCGCCAGCACCCAAGCCTTTGTATAATATATTTAATAATAGTGTGTGTAAATATATATATATTGAAAATTGATAACCACCCAGGCTCGAAAACGCACACGTGCAGCTTTCCTTATACTTGAAGTAAGAACCTTAATAGCTCACGCTATCTGGGAAAAGAACGCTTGGGTATCGAAGAAAAGAAACGAATACGAAGAGTTGTATCAGCCAACTATCATTGCCTGTCCAAAACGCCGTCTACCTCTAACTACTGGAAGTCACTTGGTTTTTGAGGGTCTTGACATGTCTTGCAGCTCTTGGCATGAGTCATGATAGTCATGATGATTCCTTTTCAGCCCGGTCTGGCTGTCGGTCCCACCTGCCTCTCACACCCGGCGGTCCCAGTCCGGGTTCCAGTCTGAGGGCCGCTCCATCGCCAAGGGCAGCGCTTGTGCATCGGCAACCCGCCGCACATGCGAACCTGTCTCTGAAAATGAAAACAGGCGGACTATGGTATCTGTGCAAGTGAACAGGCTATAGATGGAAAACTACTCTTACAACCGTCCTCAATTAGAATAGAATATGGACCCATACAAAATCACTATAGTGGATTTTTGGATTGGTCCATATTCTATCTACTCCAGGATCACTATAGATGGAAAAAGTGTGGAAACAAGTCACTGTGGACTCGCTTGGTCTGGACTCGACTCGCCCGTCTTCGACTTTGTCAGGGTGGACTCCATGCGGCACCCGGCTGGGCAGCCGTGCGTGGTCCGCTACACAGCAGCGTCAGCAGGCGGCACCCATCCCCCACGGCCGCGTGAGGCAAGGATTTCAGCTGCGCCTATGGACATGGTCATCTGGGTGTCCACCGAACTCAGGTTTGTGTTGGAATTCCACTGTGAACCAGTGCGTAGCAACTTGGTGAGATTGAGTCATGTCCAATCCTAATTAGTCAAGTGGCAGGAAATAGAGGAAATACTCAAAAGTGTTGGCAGAATTCTCATGAATTCTTCTGACTCCCTGAATAGTTGAGTTTCTCTCACTGCGCACGATTTCGGCCAAATCTCCGACCCCCTCCGACTCCGACTCCCTCTGTCTCACTCCGCTCGACCCTCCCCGCCGCGTCCGCTCAGAGCGGCCGAGCCTCGGTCAGGAGAACCACCTTCTCCGCCACGGGCCCTTGTGCCAGGTGCCGGAAGGCCACGGGCGATCCGGTCCTCGAGCCGATCGTCGAAACGGGATGAAACGCCCAAAAGGAAACG